ATGCTGCACGATGAAGGAGACATGAGATGACGAGCAAGCGGATCGAACGGCAGACCGCCCGCATGGAAAAGAAAAGTCCCGATGATGTGGGTTAGCGAGGTGTCGGATCACCCGAACACCTTGGAGGCGCGATGAATGAATGGTTCGACAAAGTCCATAGTCTTGCGGACGGCGGGCGTTGATCAGGCCCGATGGGGGAATTGTGGCAGATTATCGTGAAGGTATCCGTGGCAAGGCAGGAGATTTTGCGCCACGCCAGCGCCACGTGGGCGGTACGAACCGAGCATTGGCAGCCAGTCTATCGAAGCGTTGTCAGTGGCAACAGCAAGTACACTGTCAGATTTGCAGATTATCTTCCGCCTGATCGGTGCCTGCCAGACTAATCGGAAATGCCGTTCGACGGTACGGGACAGCGCAATCAGCGGTTGCACGTTACCAGACCTCATTCGAAGATGGTGGTGACGGTTAGTGTTGCGGCAAAGGCAGGGAATGCCTGCTGGCGCTGGTGTCAAGCTGCGATGAAAGCTCTCCGTCGGCGTAAAAGGGGGCGGGGGAAGGTGGGAAACGTCCGAGAGCGCATGGTAGGGACGGATAGGGTGGAACAGCGTTGCGAGATTTGGAGGCCGTGAACCCATGGAGCCAGAGTCCGATCGGTGATGGCGGGGTGGATGCGGCGACAGCGTCATTTCGGCGCTCCGTTCGGGGGCGAGCCATGGTCTCTCTACCCCAAAGAAGATCGGAGCCGGCGGCGGCGGCGGCGGACAGAGACGAACGAAGGGAGCACCCATCTTTCCCCGCCCGTAGCTCTCGCTCCTCTGCTGGGCGCGTCCCCCGACACCAAAACAGATCGAAGGCGAAGGAATGTTTCAACTTTGTGGTGCACTGGCCGCATGTTCCATCTTCCCGGGACAGGAATCCTGGAGGAGGCGTCTGTCGAGGTATCAGGTCGATGGGGCTATTTTAAAAGGGCGATTGCGGGAACGCGAAAACGATGCGACGCCGCGCTGATAAGAATGTCGCCGAATAGAGCCGGGGAGTGAGTCGAGGACTGGCAAGAGGCCGACAAAACACACACTCAGCAGCCAGCCAGCAGTAAGTAGATTGCGACGTTGGGCCACAATGTGCGGCCGAGGCACGTGTGATGCGACGAGGCAATGGTCGAAAGCTTCTCGAACGCTATTGGAGTGTTTCCAAGGCGCACGAACACATCCCAAAGTCCTTGGGTGGCATCGGATATCGCGCATTCCAACCTCGACAGGTCCGAGCGTCGGTTCGGAGGTGAGAGCGGGCGTGGATGGCGGAGGCTGGTGATTCAGTATTCGGAGGTTGGACTGTGGAAGGTAAGGTAGGATTCTGGTGTCATTGGGCTCTCGGGAGGAAGAGGGGAGGGTGGAGGGGAGTCGGACGGGACTCCAAGATGTCGGCGTCTCACAATGAGTGGTGGATGGGTACGCAAATTCATTGCGCTGGGCGGGTGCGAAGGGTAAAATGACACTTGGGGGCCATGGCGTGGGGGCCTGGGCAAGAAGACGGAGGTAATCAGAAGTTTGATGTCGCTTTCAGGTGAGCGAGGCTGCTGAGGAATTGAAGCAATTTTGCAAGAGAGAAAAACTGGAGATGCACAAATCGATGGTGTTCGTCTGAATTAATGACGGGAAGGCAGTGCAAGTGGTGGACGCAGCTGGCGGCAGGCCAGTGACAAGAAGGAAGGCAGGCACAGCAGCAGCTTCCCTTCCGGTCCTGCACACAGCACCAGCACACAGCCAACATTCACAGCAAGGCAAGAGCACGCACCTCAGCCAGCAAATGCAGGAACAACGACAGGTCACAACTGCCTTGCGCCGTCAGTCCACCTGCTGCCAGGTCCCGTCTCCAATGACTCCAATGGAAGGGCAGACCGTCGCGCGGGAAGGAGGACCCCCGGCACGTTTATCCCCTCAGGAGGGAATAGTGTACGTACCAATCGTGGCATAGCGGGGGACTAGCAGCACTAGCACTGCTAGCGAGCGCCCGGGCCAAATACTGACACGGGCCCGGCCAACCACAAGCTTTTCGTTCATTGGAAGGATCCACCTGTTTTGTGTGATTTAGCCTCAGGTCAACTGGCATCTTCCCAAATTGGGGAAGGAGCCAGCCCAGCAGAGCAGGAAAGAAAGAGAAAGAGCAGCCACGACGATTGGGGTGGGCTTGCCAAACGCTGAGTTGGCTGAGGCAAACGACCAAACGGCGACTGTTGAAAGAACCGGCAGCCAGCAGAAACGACAACAACAACGGCATTGCAGCAGTGGTGGCAGGGAACGGGCGTGGACAAAGGAGACCCAAGGCAATTGAAACGTAGGCCATCGCAGTGTGCTTTGTTGTCGTTGCAATCAGAGGCAGTCTGCAATCACATGCGGCTATTTGTCCACACGTACCATAGTAGCTTACGTTAGGCCCGTCTCTCAGTCCCGTCTGTGCCCGTGGTTTGTTCTTTTGGATTTCTTCTTTCTGCTCAGCGTCGTCTGGGCTGAGCTCTAATTTTGAATTTTGAATTTTCCCTCCCAAGAAAGGGTCCAGGGTCCAAGGTCGAGGCGCACCTGCATCATCGACAAGCGCATGACGCTCATCCACATCGATGGGGGGCGCGTTTGCAGGCATCTCGAGGGCGGGTGTTCGTCCTCTGCTGGACCGGTTTGAGGCGGGACGGGACATACCCTGCTGGCATCGTGGCTAGCGACACGACAGTTCGCTGTCATTTGGGGTCAATTGGGCCAGATTGTGATGAATACCGCCCTACGAAAGACCTGGCTTGACTCGATGCGACCCTTGCCGCAGCGATCGCAATTCGTTTTGCCGGTCTCGCCTGAAGTAATAAGTCGTCGGCTTGGCTGGGCTATCGAGGGCCAACAAACAAACACGCGACATGTTTGGCCGCCAGTCCCGATATGTCGTTCGTTATGACTTGACCATGAACATGGTTTGGTAGCCTCGGAGCCTGTGTTTTAGCCTCTTTGCTCTGCAACAGCGTTGTGCAGGTGCTCTTAGTGCAGCAGCAAGAGAGAGGCGGGCTCCTTGTCAGCAGCAGCACCATCTCGAGATGATCTGATCCTTCTATCCCGCAGTACTCATTTGCAAAGTATGTGCAGGCAATCATAGCATGGATGCTATCAATGACTGTGCACACTGCTGCTAAAGTGCATATGCGTCGATGCCGCTCAGCCTTTTTTTTAATCTTTTGATTTTTTTTCTGCTGATTTCGTTGCATTCCTTCCCCGTCCAGTCCTCCCTCTGATTGATTGATGGCCCATGCGCACCCTGTCTCCCCACCCACACCTGCTGCCCGTCGGCCACTCACAAGGCCGCCCAAGCTGTGGCTGATCAGCCCGGGCCAAGTCAATTCTGGCCGCCCACCACTCACAGCGCGGCTCAGGCACATTCTGCCAGGGATTCCACGCGCAACCACGCACACTGAACCCAGGAGGCAGGCACGGCACGCATAGCACCTGCTGCTCCTGCTGCTGCTGTTGCTGGGAGCTGCCCTACTGGCCGAGCAGGTGTTGACCACCACCACCACAATCGCCCTTGCCCTTTCCTGGCGGTCGCTCCTGTGTGCTTCAGGGGCTCTTGCTTTTGTTGGTCTGGGCAATGCCGTCGTTGCTGCCCGTTGCTGTTGCCATTAGCTGATGATGTTGCACCTCCCAAATTCGTCCACAACAACCTCAGACAGAGAAATTCTTCACCTCCAAACGGAAAGAAGCTGCCAACGACTGACGACCGTTGCAGGTATCCGATATTTGCACATTTGAATGACTTGACTGTACCTGTTCTTCTCTGTGTAATACCCATCTGCCACATTTACCGGCTCCCTTTTGCTCCTTCCCGTCGTCGACAACAGCCACGAGCACAGCACCGGACGAGCACGACCCCTCGCTCGCCTTTCCGCTGTTTGGTTCATTGCTCTCATTCCTGCATCTCAGACCCAAATTTCGCCCAACACGGGGTGTTTTAGACACCTCCAACGGCCCTGGATCGCAAAGGTGACCACTACTTTGGACCCTTCTTCCTTCCATCGACTCGACTCGACTCGGTTCGACTCTCTTCCCTCTGGCCTGTTTCTGTCCTGTCTCTTCCTCTTCTCTCACTCACGGCTGCTTCACTTCCTGTCCGCCCAATTCGCTTCCTTGCCGATTCTTCCTTCCATTGTTGATACCCCTTCCCCGCTACCTTAACCCCTGGGCCCCGGACCGTCGTCTCCAGCTGCCGCCTTGCCTTCCCACAACCGACCCTCCTCTTTTTTTCTTCCCTCCGCCGGAATTCTCTTCCTTGCGCAGGAAAATACGGATCCCCTTTGGAATTGGACTCCTCCATTCGCTCGAGACGGGACCGACCAGCAAGCAGCGCTGCTACCCACCCTCCCAAACTCCCAACCCACGGCATCCTCGAAGTACCTAGCCTGGCCTCAGTCAGGTGCGACGGATTCACATCTCGCCAACACACGCATTCTCACCTCCAACCCCCGTCAATCGTTGGTCGATCCACGCCGGGCTTCTTTCTCGACCTTCTTTCCGTGTTCTTCGACACCCTCCCCCCACGACTACCTTGCTTCCCGCCTGCGTCACTCTTGACGCTCCTCGCAACGTTTCGCCCGACTGCTGCACCTCTCTGCGGTGCTCCTGCGTGCCCGACGGATACCTGCGCCGTGCCTGAACATCACTCGCTTTCGACCCGGCCCGCTGCTCTCCTGTCCCTGATGAAGCGATAGCCGATCGTCCCCACGAGGCCACCTCAACCACGCGCAGCCCTGCCAGGGTCCACACGTTCAAGAGGCCAGACCGAACCTCTGAACAGCCAAGCTAGTTGGCTGCTCTGCGACTCGTACCCTGAATCGGACACAAGTCGAGGTGCATCCGAACGAAAACACGACATCTACCCTTCTCCCACCTACCTCCCTTCACGAACCCGACCCGACCTCGACATCGACGACGCTGCCTCGCGCCTGACGTCGACCCCCCTAGTCTTCAATGCCCTGGCAGCCCCTTCCCCGAATCGCCTTCGCCGTCGCGACATATCCCTTCGCCGCCTCGGGCCCGGCCGACCTGCCCCTCGAGATCGGCGATGAGCTGTACATAATCGAAGAGACCCCGGACGGCAACTGGTTGCGCGGCTACCTGGTGGCCCCTCCCAGTCTGCTGGCCGGACTGACTTCCGTCAAGGGCCAGACTCTCGAGGCCCGAGTCTTCAGCGGCATCTTTCCCAGGAGTTGTGTAGAGGTGCGCGAGGTCCTGGGCGAATCCGACGAGACGGAAGATGGCGAAGATGCTGCCAGCGACGAGAACGGCGACGTCCACATCGGAAGTGACTCGGGCAAGAGCGGCATTACACCGACAGTCGAAAAGAAGAAGCCGGCGGATGGACACAAGTCGATCGACAGCACACGGGGGTCCAAGATTGAAATCAAGGGTCGCAAGCCGCTCAAGGAACTTCCCAATGGCACCCAGGGGCGCCTCTCAGTGCCTGTGAAGCGAGACCCTGACGCCCCTCGACCTGCCGCGCCGGTGCCCATGCTCAAAATCGGCGACGAGACCCCAACATCAGCAGCAGAGCCCTTAATCGACGAAATCGCTAGTTGTCTACGAGAATGGCACTCGACCAACCTACATGGATTGTTACTGTCGCGGCAGTATGGCCGCCTCGACAAGTTGTCCCAACTAATCACCACACTCAACTTTAGCAGACAGCAATTCCTCCACAACGTCCTCACCGCGCATGAGTACGACAAGCTCCGAGAAAAGACCGTATGGGATCTGGTCCGCGTCAACAAGCTATGCGGGGGCGAGGTTATCGTTCGCGACCCAACTGAACGCGGAAGGGTACTGACGGGCGATGATTCAGTGGTGGATGTGACCAAGCTACAGTCCATCATGAGCGTCTTGGACGAGCCCCCTCAACCTACGACCGAGCCCACAGCCCTCCATCACTTGCTTGTGGATGTCAAGGGATTCGCTGGCGCATCTGCCGAGGAGACTTCCCTGGTTGTCTACCTCGTGGCTAAACCAGTTGGCGGCCAGGCGGCGGCCCTCTCCGAATGCTTCATTATTGACATACCCCCTGGCGGAACGATAGGCAGTCTTGCTAAGTCTGGCCAAACGAGGACAATATTCTCCGACCTCTCGTCGCAAGATATCGGCGACGTCGCATCCGCAGAAACGGAGCTCTACCTCGTGGTCAAGGTGCGCTCCAGCCAACAAGTCATGCCCAGCGGAAAGCCCGATTCGCGATCGGGTTCCAAGTCCCGAGACGCTGGTGCGCACAAGGACCCCGCCAAGCCCCCCTCATCTAGCGGCAACAAGGCTTCTAGAAGAAGTCTCATGTGGGGATCGAAGACTGCGCGAGCGTTCTCAAGAGGTGGAGCAACATCACGACTTGACTCCGTGACAGAGACACAGGAAGGCCGCCCAGGAACTCAAGACGACAGTCAGGAGAGTGCCGCGCCACCTAGCACGGCCGGATCGAGGAGCCGAGGCTCTATGGACGCAGGATCAGGTTTCCACACGGCCGAGCGGACGGTGGGCATTGGTGTGCTCAAGCTCAACGCCGTTATGAAGCAGGATGAGGAAGTTGAGCAGGTCGTCAGCGTGTGGGCGCCCTCCCTCTCGCTCCCTACAGAGAAGCAGGGCTTACACGAGGACTGGGACATGTTAATCCGTGACCTTATGGACAGCCCAAGTGGTCACTATGAGAAGTCGCGCCGAGCCGAGCGAGTACAGGTTCACCTAAAGTCCTTCAACCACCCAGATGTCGAGACGTTGGTGAAGGTCACACCGACCCTACTGGCTGGAGTCCGTAAAACGAACAAGATGGGCTTCTCTGGTGCCCCAACCAAGGCCAGATCGGACATCTACGTCACTCTTGACACCGCGACCCTGTCAAAGCAGAACCTATTGTCCCGATATGCAGGGAATCCGACAACGCTCTCCAGCAGCGTACACGGGAACAATTTGCAGGTGACACTCGAAGTGCGACGGACGAGTGGAGAAAAGATCCCGAACTGCATCTACTCCTCGTCCAACACCGAAGGCGTGACTACGTGGAAATCTACCGCAGTAGACAAGGGGGAGCACTGGAGTCAAACCGTTCGGCTTGCTGTGCCACCACAAGACGTATTCACGTCACACATTGTCATGTTCGTATCCGAGATGCCGAATGCTCCGTTCGCGGTTTCCCACATGCCTTTGTGGAACCAAGAGGCCTTCGTCCGAGATGGCTCCCACGCCCTGCTTCTGTACAAGATGGATGAGTACACTTCCACCGCTCAAGCTGGCCCCTCCGGAAAGGGCGGCTACCTCTCCCTACAGTGGAGCGCCAGAGGTGATGACGAGCACTCGGCAGAGGTGACCGGTCCTTTGGCAATCCTGCGCGTCGACTCTTACCTATGCAGCACCACATTCTCCCAAGATCGTATCGTTTTGGGTTTGATCAAGTGGAAGGACACTTCCAAGGAGGACATCCAGACTCTGCTGAAGCACGTCATTTTTGTCCCAGAGATTGAGATTGTCAAGCTTCTGAGCGATGTTCTCGACGCTCTATTCGGCATTCTGGTCGAATACTCTGGGAGTGACGAGTTTGAAGACCTCGTGCTCACTGCCCTGGTTAGGGTCCTTGGCATTGTGCATGACAGGAGATTTAACTTGGGTCCTCTGGTTGATCAGTACGCCGAGAGCCGCTTCAACTATCCGTTCGCCGCAGCCTGTCTTGTCCGATCGTTCACTCGCCTGCTGGAGAAGCCCACTGAGCCTGAGATTTCTCGAAAGCTTCGATCTACATTCAAGGTCGTCCGTCACATTCTGAAGTTCATCACTCATGCGCGAGGCCAGCAGAAGGCCAAGGAAGCCGGCATAGGCATCACGACTTCCAGCTCTACTCCGGGCTTCACTCGCGAGTTGAGGAACATCTTCAAGGCCCTGGACGCCATGATGCGCAACCATGCTCCGGTCCTTGTTGGTAGTCAGACACTCGCCGTGCAACATTTCCACACGTGGCTTCCAGAGCTGACAGGACTGTTGACGACTGAAGAGATCCTTCACGTCGCGATCGACTTCCTCGACTCTTGCGCCGACGTCAAGGGCAAGCTGGTGCTCTACAAGCTTGTATTAATCATCAACTACTCCAAGCTCGACATGTTCTCACACCCTGATCAAAAGTCCGCCCTTACTGCCAACACTGTCCGCTGGATCTCGCCTCACTGGGGTCATTCCGAGGACGTCACCGACCTGTGGAAGGACCAAGTTCGCCTCTGCTGCTCTGTTCTCGCTAGTCAAATCGACAACCTAGGCGCTGAGATCCCTGACTACCTCCCGAAGATTATCGATTCTTATTTGTCTATAGTTTCTACCAACATCAAGCCACGCAACCGACTTTCCCTTCTGTTCCCGACCTCATACCCCTTTCCTTCCAAGCCGATTGCGGAAGAATGCACCTTTGATGAGGCACTGATTGAGCTTTCCGCCATTCTCTCTGCCATCTCGAATTCGCCAAGCGGAATGCAACTGGAGTTGACAGAAGGCGACCTGACTGCATTATTAGAAAATACCCTTCGCGTGCACATGAGCATACTAATGGGCGAGGCTTTCCCGCCCGAATGGCTAAGCGTACATATTTACCACCACAAGTCCACCATGAGGACACTGCAATACCTGTCCAGCATCTTGCTGGAGTCTTTCTTACCACACCCCGACGAGGCCGAAAACTTCAACACGGAACTCTGGAAGATGTTCTTCACGACTATGCTAAAGCTTGTCGGCAGCCCGTCCCTCGCGCTGGAGACGTTCCCCGAGCAGAAGCGCAGGGCTGTGTGGAAGATCGCCGGCGACGTAAGGGAGCATGGAGCCGAGCTGCTGAGGCGAACATGGGAGGCAATCGGTTGGGAGACGAGCAGCGATGAGCGGGCTCGCTATGGCCTCTCCAAGATGGGCGGTTACCAAGTTCAATACGTTCCGACCTTGGTCGGTCCGATCGTCGAGCTTTGTCTTAGTGTGCACGAAGGTCTTCGCCGGATGGCCGTGGAGGTGCTGCAGACTATGATCGTCAGCGAGTGGACTCTGAGCGAAGACTTGTCCGTCATCCAGACCGAGATGATCGACTGCCTCGACCATTACTTCAAGTCAAAGCCCTTAACCGAAAGCATTCTGCAGAAGCTTTTCGTCAACGAGGTTCTGGAGAGGTTTGCCCCCCTGTCGACAATTCCCGACGATCCTCTCTACGCTGGTCTGCGTGATCTGATGGCGACCGTTGACGAGTTCCTTGACCTGCTTGTGGCTGTTCACAGCGGCGACGTCACAAGCGAAGCGTCGCATCTTATCAACCGTCTCAGACTGATGGAGTTCCTTCGAGACATGCAGAAGGAGGAGATCTTCATCCGCTATGTCCACCAACTGGCCATCCTGCAAGGTGAAGCGAGGAACAACTGCGAGGCTGGCTTGGCGCTTCGCCTTCACGCTGACCTGTACGAATGGGACCCGACCAAGCAAGTTCCCGCCCTGGACGACCCCGAGTTCCCTGCCCAAACGCACTTTGAACGCAAGGAGCGCATCTACTTCGATATGATCAAGTACTTTGAGGACGGCGAGGCGTGGAGCAGTGCGCTCGCAGCTTATCAAGAGCTGCGAGTTCAGTATGAGACCAACATCTTCGACTTTGCCAAGCTTGCCCGCACTGAGCGTGCCATTGCCACCATCTACGAGACCATTTCAAAGAGCGACAAGCTGGTGCCCAAGTACTTCAAGGTTATCTACAAGGGTCTCGGCTTCCCGCCCAGCCTGCGTGACAAGGAGTTTGTCTACGAGGGCTCGCCAACAGAGCGTGCAGCTGCCTTCACGGACCGCATGCAGGAGCAATACCCTTCTGCCCAGATTGTTACGGGAGGCGATGTAGACGACGTAGAGGGACAGTTCCTCGTCGTTTCCGCGATCACTCCTCACCGCGACCTCACTCATCAAGTCTTCCAGCGCGCTCGCGTTCAGCAGGTCATCCGCGACTACCTGTTGTCCGCCCACCCTCAGAGCTTCTCCGTGTCTTCTAAGCGGAGCACCTCTGGACCTGTTCAGGAGCACTTCGCTGAGAAGCTCATCTTCACCACGGCCGACCCGTTCCCCACAATTCTCCGCCGAAGCGAGATCGTCCACACCGAGGAGATCAAGCTCAGCGCCCGAGAAACCGGTCTGGAACGTATCGTCAGGAAGACGCAAGAGATGACGATCCTCGAGAAGAGGATCGCTGATGGAGACGAAGAGAACGCACAGTTGCTCGTGGATGCTATCAGCATTTCGGTCAACCCTGATTCTGAGAACAGCGTTGCCTGCTACCGTCAGCTTCTGCCCGCCCCCCGCGAAGAGAACGATGAGGACGACGAGACAGAAGAGCAGGAAGAGGAAGAAGAATTGGAGCTCGATCCGCAGGACAACGCCATCAAGATGGCGTTGGTTGATCACGCCATCATGATTAAGAGATGCTTGGCAACCTTCGCTCGGAGTTCAAATGAGGTCCTCCACGAGAGACATGAGGAACTTCAGCAATGTAGGTCATCCTGTTCCGCTGCCAAATCCCCTGTACTAACAAGAGCAGGCTTCGAAAGCACATTCGCTCCCGAGATTGCACTCTTCGCACCGCCTCAGCCCTCCCGTGATTCATCCACTGCCTCTCCCACCTGGAGACGGTCAGAGCCTTCAACTGAGCAGGTGTCTCCCAAGCCCCAGAGCCTCGCCGGTGTCATCACAACCACTGGCGTGATTGCTGAAGAAGCGGCGACAGTAGCACCGATTGCTGTCAGAGGCCGCGGAACGCGCCTCAGCTTCCTGGGGGGTCGTAAGAAGGAATCTCCGGTGTTGCAACAGACGAACGGCGATACCCACGTGAATGGGGAAGTCGACGACACTGTCAGCAGCCGAAGCCGCAGCTTCAGCAAGACCCAGGAGACCCAGAACCGCCGCACGAGCTTCTTCCGCGCCCCGTCTACCGAACCGCGAATCATGACCGTTAACGATGCCACGAGTGAGTGGGTGACGGATTCGGGCGGCCGTCAGAGCTCGGACATGGGCACGAACCTCACCGAAAAGGAGCGCGAGTATAGGGACGAGCGACCTGCGGAGCCCCTTGGCATCGTGAAGAGGGGCAGCGTTCGCAAGAGATTGAGCATGCTGAAGCTGGGCAAGAAGTCCAACAAGGCCGGCGCTATGGGCAGCGTGCACGAGGAGTAGGACTTCACGGCAGCGGCAGAGCAGCTGGGTTACATGAATAAGACGACGGGGGAGTGGCAGTATCCTGTGTCGTGAGTGCGACTCGGGCGGGGGGAAAGAAAAACAAAGTGTCTTTGTGTCAGGAAAGGGCGGATGTGTACAAATTTGTCCACGGTGGCCTTATGGGATCGGACAGTGGGCTCAGGATATTTATGGGCTTTTTTCGCGAATTTCGCCGGCGATGAGAGGTTTGGGAGGGGCGATGGTGTTCTGGATATGTATCTGTAGGATCCCCCACATCTGCACGACAGCCATAGCGCAGCAGATGCAGTTTCTTGTCTGGTTCTCCTCTTCGTGAATAATACTTTCCTCTCCCATTTGTATGGGAGTCTCACAATTATCTGTCCATCTGTCAATGGTGAACTCAACGAGACTGACCGAGGCCCGTCACAGCTTCCAACACAGCACTGCCGCTACAGATTGCTTGGGACGGCGTGGTCCCCCTCTCGTCTGCACCTAGGGACTTTTGTTCGGTCCATGGATCACCATCAGCCTGTCTTGTCGAGAATCCACACACTGACAGATCGTTCCATCCATCTGGCCAGCTTCCACAAGCCCACGTGCCCGCGGCGGATCTTCCTCCTCGGAAACCATCCGAGAAGTAACCTTTATCGAAGCTACTGACATGGACCACACGACCCACGAACGAGCGGCCCGATAGTCCGATAGAGACTGCAGAGAGAGGGGCAATCGGTATCCCACAGAGGCCTCTCCCCGTCCATCTCCCCATGGTGTTATCACCCACGTGCCACCATCGCATCCCTTCCTTTCTCCAGCCATGGGTGACTGGCAAATCTCGCTTGAACGGGAACCGACCGGAGCTATGCTCAGATACGGCGCGTGGGCTTGTCTTGGGTCGCACCGGAGCGGGCTGTGACTGAATCGTGTAGGGCGCGCCGGGGGGCCGGCCCCGTTGTTTTTTGGCGGGCCGAGATCGATGCGCATGCCTTATTCGGACTGCGGTTCTTCGAATGCGGTAGCGACGGCGGGGACAGCAGGATGTGGGATGTGTTTTGGGATCCTGGTGAGGGCAGGGTGCTGTTGGGCTTTTGTTCCCCTTTTTGGGATGGGGATGGGGAGGGTGCTGGATCGGATTGGGAAGGACGGTTGGTATGAATATTGGATTGGGGGGAGAGGATGGGTGGTGATGGGTTTGTATAAAGCTGTTGGGTTTACGACCTGGTGAGGTGAGGGTGAATGCCAAGCATCGCGCCTCTCCATCTCTCTCTAAGCCCAAGGCAAGCTACTCAGCCAGCATCATCACTTCTTCCTCTCTCTCCTTAGGCCGTAAAACCAAGGGCCACCTCGCCTCACAAACCACACCAAACCACCAGCCAACATCACAAACCCAGCATCCCAAAATGCAGCTCCCTCACCTCTCCCTCAGCCTCCTCCTCCTCCTCGGCGCAACAGCGACGGCGCAGAAGACGGGCCCGAACGGCAAGCGCATCTGCGTCGGCGGCGCCATCTCGTGCCAGTACGAAAAGGGCCGCTGCGCCAACATCTGCGGCGACTCCTTCGTCAACGGCCAGGGCACGCCGGCCTTCATCGACCCCAACTGCTCGTGCCCCGAGGGCCAGGCGGATAACAAGTACACGGGCGCGGCGTGTATCGATGTGGTGAGGGCGTTGGGGAGACAGGGGTGCTGAGGGGCTGGAGGCCGTCGGGAAGTGTGAGAGAATGTATCTTTTGCGGGGAATGGTAGGAATGGGAGATGGTGTTTAATGGTTTGGGTGGTGATGGGGAGGTTAATGGGGAACGCGGCTGGTGTTAGTCGCGTGTATAGGGATATTCGTGTACATATTTGCAATTGGCAATTGGACATAGACTCCATTTCTGAGAGGTAGTTGAGCGTATTTGATGCATTGCGAGTACCTATGCGTAAATTTCTTTCTACACAAGCCCTTTCGAGGAATTGGGTTTGCTTTTATCCCATATTTGGCATTTTATCGCTGTCAGTAGGAAGCTCGAGTCTCATTGTTTACCGAAGAGTATCATATGCCGTCGACATCGAGAGTCTAGCTTCTCTCCCTACATGTAAAAGTGGGGGACGGTCTTCTGCCGTCTCTGACTTCACGATAAGAACTACGCTGCTCAGAGTTACAGACCAAAGTGATAAGTTCTTTGAATACATGGGCTGTGGGCTGTTAGGAGGCCTCTCAGCGAGGGAAGGCTGGTGTGCGGTCCAAAATGGCGGAGTAAGACAGCCAAGTCCAAAGGGAGCCGAACGATCCGGCGTTGAAGCCAACAACCGCCAAATACACATGAAGCAGAATGTAGACAGCTGGTAAAAGGACGATACTCCTCGAACCAGATGGGGAGTGAAGGCAATGTTGGGTAAGATGCTAAGGCCCAGCGTTCAGCGTGCCGAGTCTGGGGCGATGGCAATGAATGGAGTTAACGACATGTCGTGAGAATGATATCTTGGCATCAGTGCCCAGCATGGGGCTGAAGTCCCTTGGCTTAGTGTTCTAGACATGCCGAGAAGGACAGAGTGCTTCAAAGGCAATTGTGAGAGTATAAATCATCCGGAGTCAGGCTGGCTTGTTCACACTCCAGGCGTACTTCTCTTTAGTCTTTATCATAGGCCCTGCACAATCACATATCAGCTCCTTGCCACTCACAAACCGAAACTCACCCTCAAGATGCCATACGACACGGAAGTCACCACGACCGCCACCGTCTTCGATACGGAAGACGACAACGGCATCTGGACCTTCGCCGACCTCGCAGGCGATGGCTCCCTCGACCTCGTCTACATCAAGACGCGCGCCACCGACAGCGGCAAAGTCGAGCTCCACGCCGCCAGCCGCAGCTCCGCCTTCCAGGACCGCACCACCAGCACGCCCACCGCCTTCGACGCCGTTGACGAGGACCCCGCGGCCTCCGGACACACCTTCCTGCTGCGCGACTGGACCGGCGACGGCCGCGCGGACCTCATCCTCGTCAAGACGCGCGACACCCCCGGCGGCAAGGTGGAGCTCCACGTCGCCGCGGCCGACTCGGACTACCAGGCCTACGCCCTGCAGACGGAGACGGCCTTCGACTGCGAGGACAGCGGCGCGTGGACCATGACGTACCCGCGCGGCGACCACCTCGTGTACCTCAAGACGCGCGACTGCGGGTCCGGTATGGTCGAGGTGCATGCGGCCGGCCGCGGGGGCGGGTACCAGAGCCACGACCGCGGCGAGCCGACGGCGTTTGAGGCGGAGGAGAACGGGACGTGGTGTCTTGCGCCGCGGGCCGTGGACGACGGGGAGGGCGGGGGTGCGGTTGCGGATGTGTATTATGTGAAGACGAGGGAGACCGATTCCGGGGTAGTGGAGGTGCATGCGGCGACGGCGGAGTCGGGCTGGCAGGATCGTCCCTTTGGTATCGTCTCGAGCTTCGCGCCGGGCGAGGATGGGCACTGGGTTTTGGCGGATTTGAATGGTGGGGATGTGCCTGATTTGGTGTATGTCAAGGTGAGGGATACCGACAGCGGCAAGGTTGAGATTCATACCAACGAGGTGTAGCCGGTAACGGAAGCTCCTACTGAGTTTTCTTCACTCTCTCACACGAAGAGGCAGGGGAGGTGCCTTGTCGATGCGGGAATGGAGACCTGGGTTCAGGGTTGGCGCATCTCTAGAGAGCCACCGGTACTTCAAACTTGTCTATGTCATATGTCAGGCTAAGACTAAAGGAGGTCAATCGTGCGACAGAAGAGCCTCATCTAGCGTACCCTATCTTGAATAAGTCGAGGGTTCATGTTAATTACCGTTCACGCTGGATAAATGAAGTTGAAGGACGTGGTGTTCAATACTGCGGAATGCCAATTGAAGCGTTTCTCCACAGGTCGTGTTCTGCAACTCGAAAACTCGAATGAGACCAGGAGAAGGGGACAACGATAAATCTATTGATGTGATTTGCATGAATGTGAGCCCCTATGGCACGTTGGACTGCCGTGGCTGCTGATGCCAGGCAGAGGCAAAGCTGCAGCTAGGTATAAAAACGCCAGCCGCATGTACGACTTACTGAGATTATCATTCGGAATGTCAGGAAGTGCTGTGAACCCTCTGGAGGATGATTTCATCTAGCTGGAAAGACAGCTTGGAAAGACACCTGGCGTGCTGGATATTTTGCTGACGGGCACAGTCTTGCAAGTCGTCGCAACCTGAAAAGAACTTATGTCATTGCATGTCAGTTACTACACCATGATTGGAATACGCGAAGGAGGGACTTTCGGTGACTCCTAGCTGCTTATGTCGGGCTAGACGAAGCCACCTCGGTACCCTCTTCATTTAGCTGCAGATCGCAGGGGCTCTTGGGCTCAAACGAGTGGTGCCGTGGTCTGGACTCGCAGAGAATCTAAAAATACGGTTTAGTCTTGTTCGCCATTGTGGGATCATCTCACGACCTGGAGCACCATGGTCATTCAATCCTACATGACCCCCATGTCAGCGTCGGCCGCTCCCGAAGTCCTGTAATTGACGAAGTCTTACAGCCAATGAAGCAGTTGAAAGCTTCTCTTTGGTATCTTAGTTCCTGAAGCTAAAATTACTACTGGTGGACTGGCTGCTGGAAAAGATAACGCCGTACTTTGTATCAAGTACAAAACCGAGGGTGTGGACTGGCTTGATCTCGACATGATGTCTCATCAAAGTCATCCATTATATAGTTTCTCTTCAGCCCAATCCTCGTTACAATGGGCCAATACATCTCTAGTTTGAGGAGCCATATCCGAGCTTCGGACAGTCGAACTCGGAATGCAAAGGCTCTCGAGCATAAGCCCAATAGCCTTGCAGATCCTCCGGGGTCCGACTGCGATAGTGGCAAGCCCAAACAAGGTCTAGCAGCCATACTTCGACCTATAATCACTTCATTTGTCTCCGACATTGGCTGCATTGACCCTTCGCCAGAACCAAGTGAGGCTCTATGGGTTGCCACGCGAGCCTACGCCGATCAGCTGGGGGTAAACTATGACAAAGGCACTCACTCTTGGGAATGCTTCCAGATGGGAATTACCTATTCAGCTGTTAGTTTGACGTCGGCCACTCGTAGCGATGCGGCATTGCCCGTTAATGCTGACGTACTTCAGGTCTGCTTCCCACAGCACTCACTGGAGGTCCAAGTCTACATCGGCACGTATACATGGCTTGGGATACTCCTCGACGATGGAACCTCAAAATCACCAGACGATTGCTCAAAGTTTATCGAACGTTTTGCGGCAGGTCAGAAGCAACCGACACCCCTCCTCGAGGGATGGGCGGAACTCATGCGTCTGGCATTCAAGTACTGGGACCCGGTTGTGGCCAACTTCATCGTCACGGCTTCACTCAACTTTGTCAATGTAAATGTCCTCGAGGGCAGGCATGAGTTCAAAAAGCTCAAGCCGACACCGGGCGGCAAGAAGTGGCCCTGGTTTATGCGTGATAAGGATGGCGTTTCCGACGCGTACGCCCTTTTCACGTTCCCCAAGGATCGGTATCAAGACATGTCGAACTATCTAGAGATGATTCCTGATATGTCTTCCTACCTCGCATTGACTAATGACATTCTGTCGTAAGTTCCGATCGCTATCTTTGCAACAGATCAACTTCACTAATTCAATTGCCATCGGTCAGCTTTTACAAAGAGGAAAAGAAACGGTGAGGTAGACAATTATATACACGGTCGTGCCTGGTACGAGAACAAAGAAGCTACCCAGGTGCTTGAGGACGTCATTAGCGAAGTTAAGGAAGGCGTTCGTCGCATACGTGTTGTTCTCGATGGAAGAGAGCCATCCATACCTGCAGGCTACCAACAACTATGTACTGGGTTATGTCGCTTTTCACAAGTTTGTCAGGCGATACAGACTATGGGAGGTGGGCTTAGGCGAGCATCGGGTGTAGGAACTTGGTACTGAAGTTTGAATTTGGGGATACGCGGCTCTGCAAGTGCTACTAGACTATTGGCTGTATATATATATATATATATATATATATTCTATATGGACGAAATGGAATGAGTGTATGTTGCTCGACGCTGACGCCCTCTGCCTGATACAAGAACGTGCCGGCATTTAAATAACACCGCCAGCAACACTAGACTATCTTTGATAGCTTTAACACTTAGAATCCTCAAGATTCTAACATAGCTCTCTAAAATGCGCATAGCATACTCGGTCTGGGCAGATTAGCAATCTTGCGCCCTTTGACTTCCATGATCCCTCCTAGCCGGCCGTAGCCGGAGCTACCGCTAGTGCTTCCGTTGGGAACAGCGGCCTCGATATAGACTGACATGACAGCTTCTGACTCGGACCTGGCGCGAAATATCAAGATCGCGCATGGTATCGCCAGCAAAGACGGTCGCGCTGAGACTGAAGGTACTGTCGTAAGCCAAAACGAAAACCTCATTGTTGGCGACAAAGACCGTTAGCGTTAGACACATCAAGGGGGCCGAAAGTTTCTTTTTGGACTGAATCTCTTATTTGGAAGCGAAATTATTGTGGTATCATTGAGGTCACCAAAGCTTCTAGCAAAACAATATACAGAAGTTGCGCCCTCTAAACGCTTCATTACCTAAAAGCGACCGTCTTCGATCTTCGAACGGCTGTCACAGGTGCCTTCCCCCCCTCTCACTCGACCTATATCGTTCATCTCCTCCCATTCTAGGCGCGCCGTGACGCTCCGCTTAGAGCGTATAGATAAAATCAGGTCGCTTGTCGCCGGCAACCCACTTGTCCTCATCCGACATGGACGCCCACTTAGCATCCATCTTGCCGGCTCTGCGAGAGGAGTTCTCCCGACGCAGGGCAAAGTGCATGAAGATGGAGCCGCCGAGCAGGAAGAGGACCTGATATCCGAGAACGACGCTGTGACCGGTGTAGAAGCGGGGGGACTCGCGCTTGAGGTAGATGTTGGAGGAGACGACGCCGTTGAGGTTGCCCCAGCCGACGACCATACCCAGCACGAAGGCGCGCTTGAGAGATCCCTCAGTGTTATTGATGACCCAAGATAGGGTGTTGGATATGGTTGGGTAGATTCCTGCTGCGCCCAGGAACGTTCCGGCGTACTGGACCTGCGGGTTCTGCGTCGAGATGAGCATCACGAAGCCGACGATGCCGATGGTCACGGTCGCTATGTTGCAGTACCCTCTGTACCGCGTCTTGTCGGCAATGATACCGACAGTGACAGTCAGCGCGGCAGCAACGGCATATGGCGGCACGGAGAGAAGCTGGGCCTTGGTGCCGACGTGACCCATACCGGTGAGAATCGTGGGCAAGAAGAGCGAGAAGGCGTACAGCGGGACGAGGCAGCCCATGTAGATAACCATGTAGCCGTAGGTCTTCCAGTCCTTGAGGCCGGCGTACATGTGGCGCTTGTCAAAGTCCTCGGCGGTGCGGCCCTGCTTGTCGGCGAGCAGGCGGCGCTGGACGCGGATGCGCTCATCGGGGGTGAGGAAGCGGGCGTTCTCGGGCCAGTCGAAGACCATCCACCAGCAGAAGATGCCGACGAAGACGGTGGCGAGACCCTCGATGATGAAGATCCAGGCCCAGCCAGGCTTGTTGCCGATGCCGTCCATCTTAGCGATGGCGGCCGCGAGGAGGCCGCCGAAGGAGCCGGCCAGGGCGGCGGCAGAGAAGAAGACGGCAGAGCGGACGCCGATCTCTGAGCCCTTGTACCAGCAGGACAGGTAGTAGTTGACACCTTTAGGAGTAAGATTGTTAGTGGGGGAGGTTTTGTGGAAGATAGACTTCGCGGCGGAGGGGTGGTGGCGCATGTGCAGGGTGAAGCTTACCAGGGAAGAGACCCGCTTCAGCAATACCCAGGAACCAACGGGCGGCAAGGAGGCCTGCGGTGTTGTGGCAAAGACCCATGAGGGTCATGATGATGCCCCAGACGACGATGATTCCGGTGAAGAAGATGCGCGGGGTAAGACGCTTGAGGAGGGCGTTGGTGGCGGGCTCGAAGACGGCATAGCTGATGAAGAAGACGGTGAGGGCGAGGTTGTAGTCGCTGGGCGCCATTCCGAGATCAGCTTCCATGCCGGCGAGACGGGCATTTCCGATGTTGGTTCGGTCGAGGAAAGAAAGGAGGTAGCTGGATATTCGTGTTAGCCGTGGTGATGATGAGAATGCGGGCAGAGCTTTGCGGCTCAATCTTACAGAAGTGAGAGCCATGGGACGAGCCAGAGATCGACTTTCCACATTAACGCCTTATCCTATTTTCAAAAAAGAACAGTGTTAGTTATGCAATGACTCTCTTGTCACCCGGAGCTGGCGATAGCTTCATCCGGCTCGGAGACGGGAAGCGACGTACAATGGCGGCCCGCTCTTCCGGCGTCTTGCCGTCATCGGGATCGGGCAGATCTGCGAGGGCGCGCGCCTTCTCGACCTGGGACTCGTGGGGTTTCTCATCCGAACTCTCGTTCACCTCCACATCGCGCTTTTGGTAATGTTCTGTCAAGCCTGCCATGGCTGTGGGTTTCTGTTGGGTAAGGCGAGGTAAGGGGCCGCGATTGTTGTTTGGTTGCTGGTGCCGTTGGAGCGGGTGCAAGAGAGCGGTCGCGAAGCGGTCTGTTGCCGTCTGAGGAGGCGACGGGATCCGAGGGCTCGTTTTTGTTTGCTCTACCTACCCCTTTGGACTGTTCGGTCAAATGCTCGGGTGGTTCAAGAGCAACGGCACGGACGGGATCGGGAGAAGAGATGGTTGGAGGAGGAAAGAGAGCGAGTTCAAAGAGGAGGTGAGAGGTGAGAGGCAAAGGGAGATCTGGTGGAAGAGAGAGGTGGTGAGAGGGTTTTGATGCGGTGGAACACGGCAACCGGAGTGGAAGAGCAATGGGTGGGATGGCTGTGTCCAAACAAAACACCTCGATGGGCTATGAGGGGTAAGGTCAAGTAGCTGGAGAGACGAAGACCCGGGGTGGGATGAAACCTTGAGGCATCTTTATAAATGGCAGACCGGACGAAGGTGACGAGATGGGATGGACGAACCATGTCGCCGTCCGTCTGGGCCCCCTTCGTCTCTTTACCTATCACTCTACTCTCTTCACTGCCATTGCTTCATGTCCCCTCCGTCGCCGCCGAGTGCTACCTCTGCCGATCCACCCACACTCATACAGAAGTTGACGAAATCAGCGAAGGGGAATGAGATGCGCTAGTATGAACGACGACAACGACGACGACGTGTGCAGATTTTGGAGAACTGGCAAAAAGATTGGGGGACTTTGCGCTGCTCTCCGCAAAAAAAAAAGACATCACTGTGCGGCATCCGATGGGAGGGGAACAGGGTACATTGCTGCTCGGTACCCTGCTTACCCTGTCCCGCTGCCAGTGAGAACTGAGAGAACTGGGTGACCATGTCTCTCTTCCAGGCCCGGTCGAGTCGCGGCTGCATGTAGGGCTTTTCTTCCTTCCTTCTTTTCGCATTGGGTAGTACGTAGCCTGCAGCTCGAAGCTTGCCCGCGCAGTTCATCACCTTGAGACTGCTGCTCATACAAGGGGTACTGGGGACTGGGGACATGAGAGGCTCGATGGATAGCGTTCTCCCACAGTGTTCGATGCAGCCGGTCCTGGCCTTCTTTCTGTCGTGTTCCAACGGCGAGCGAGGGCGGTGTCAAGTCGCATTCAGCAGGCCAACTTTTGTCCGTGCGACCGGTTTACTTTACCTGCAATGCGCGCCCAGAGCTCTTGGCACTTACTGTGAGCCACCCCGGAGACGGGTTTGTTGCTAGTGATTGGCCGGCAGACCGGGGGTGTCCGGGGCAGTTTCTAGTGAAGGGGTGGACGGCCGGGGGATGGGCGGTCATGGAGCTAAGGGAGACCGGGGAGGGCATGGAGGCGAGGAGGAGGAGAATGGGGGAATGGGGGAGCAGATGGAGACGACGGGGGTCAGTCGACTGGACACGGAGCCAAGGCTAGAGGGAGGCGGGGAATTGTCTACACGGCGCAAGAAGAGAGAATGCTGAATGGCTCGTTTCGACCGTGAACAACCCAGAAGAGACATGAAAAGCCATGGGCGCCGAGACTGTGAACAAGATCATGACTCGAACCTTGCAGGTTGCCTGCCAGAGTCCTGAGGTCCAGACGCAATTGCAGGCAACTCACCCTCAGCTGTGTTGGAGGACACAAACATAACAGTGGCCGCTGCTGCAAGTGCAGTAAATGCCCGGTTCAAATGAATTGAGGGTGGGTGATTTGAGAAAAAGGTAGCCTGCAGCGCCCAGTCCCATGCCCGGGCATCATGTTTGTACGACGGTGTGGCGCACAGAAGGTCCGAATGTTTGCTGGCCTCGTCTGAAGGCGCCCTAGGGTAAATGAGGATAAGCTGGAATGCGTAGAATATTCGACAATTCCCGCTCACTAGCTCCCTTGTTCCCGAGAGACTTGACTAGAATGCCATGATGCGCACCCGTTTGGCATGGTGGTGTATTGAGTTCTAGCCACCCGCAGCCACGAGAGCATTTACACTCAGGAAAGACTCGACAGTCTGTTTTAGTTGGAGCATCGTATCGTCATGTGGATGATGAGACTTTTTGCCCTTCAATCGGGAAGGTGGGAGAACAGCATGACAGGGACGCAGACAG